TTCAGAAAAGGCCAAAAGGAAAAAAAAAATTAAGTAAACATAATTGTACAAACAAACACTCTCAGAGAAGCTTAAAAAAAAGTTTGCAAGTAGACATTAGCATCTGACAGACAGTGTAAATAATCCTTTATAAGATCAAGAACCTGGGGAACTAGTTCTTGATGTGATCAAATTTATTTCTGAGTAAAGTGATCATGTCTTGATTAAACTCTTCCAGAACGTACTGATTATCGCTCCTCTTATAGAGCACTCCTTGTTGCCATTTAAAATATACTGGTACTTCAAAGACTTTATGATTCCATGCATTACAGCAAGGTTCCCTGGACCGTTGGAAAATAAATACAGTCAAGATATCACAATTCCTACAATTTATTTAACAGTGGTAATGATGAGTGTGACGATTATGCCAACCTAGAATGCTTACTGCCAAAGATGTTTTCTTTGTTTCAACTGGTCAAGCTGGGTCAAACTACCAGCAGAGATGAGAAGGGACTACATTTAGATTTGTGCTGCTATAAGATAGAACGCTTTTCTCTGGTATCACTCCCTGCAACATTACGTTACAATGTTTGTAGCATTAGTTATAGAGACCCCAAAATGTAGGAAATTGCTGCACTCTTTGCAACCGTGTCTAGCTTTGTGGTAGGACTCAGTTCAATTATTCAATCAATTCAATTAACTCCTTTTATTTAGAAATGATTCACAACAGATTTTTCTCAGGGCACTTTTTGGAAATAACAAAAAAAAATAAATAAATAAAAATTTATCCAATCATATAGGCACATTCAAAGTTAATTAAATACACTCCAACTTGATTACAGTTATAAAACAATACAATCCAAAAAAGAAAATTGGTTATAAGTCTTTCTAAGGGAAAATTTCTGACTGCATCGAGTCACTGAGTTCTCCCCACAGGAACAGTTAGCAATAGTAAACAACCACTTGCACTGAGCTGTTAGGTTTATAAGGCAAGGCAAGGCAAGTGCATTTGCAAAATAGAGTGGCAGTACAATTCAAATTGTTGTTCATGAGGGAAGAAAAGGTAACGTACATTGCAGCGGCATAAAGGTAACACAAATAATTAAATGATAAAAACTTTTTTTATGAAAGTTGGACTAAAAATGTAATTAATTATGTTTAGATTTCGCAGTCAAAGGCCACTCTATATTTTTATCCATTAGACTTAGATAACTTTATTGCCATTTTGTATAAACAGTGTGTAAAAAACGAAATGTTTATACATACAGCTTTCCAACAGGAAAAGAGCAGCTTGGCAGTAAAATGGACATTTGCATTTATAAAGTTATAAATATATATTTATAAATATTTGGATGGTTAAGATTAGTGCTAAAATTAAATAAGGAGATATGGTGTAAAATGCAGTAGAAACGCTAAGTTGAGTTCTATTTTGAAGATTCACCATGTAGTACAAGTATGATGTTATGAGTGTAATGCAGATACTCGAATTGTGATGTGATTAGTTTTCAACAGTTCAACAGTCTTATGGCAGCGAGGGGAAAAGCTGTTACAGAACTTGCTAGTCCTGCATTGAATGCTGCGAAGCCTCTTCCCAGAGGGCAGCAGGGAGATCAGTCCATGGTGGGGGTGTGAGGGGTCATTGGTGATGTTACGGGCTCGGGACACAGGGATTAAAAGTCTTTTATGGAGGGCAGAGGAGCCCTGATGATCCTCTCTGCTGTTCTCACCATGCATTCATACCAAGGTAAGGTTTCAGCACATTTATGGTTTTCTGATAGTTTATTCCAGATTAGTAGTGGATAAGAACTAAAAACAGCTTCTCTGTGTTTGGTTTTGGGTCTGGGTTTGTGAAGTAGATTAGAGCCAAAAGGACCTGAGAGGTCTTTCATGTATTTAGGTGCTAAACCATTCAGTGATTATTTTAGACTAACAAATGTTTTCTGTGAGATATGGGGAGCAGTGCTTTAGAAATGGGTGACGTGCTCCACTTTATTTGTTTTGTTGAGGATGTAGGCAGACCTGTTACAGTAATCAATTCTACTAAAGATGAACACATGAATTCGTTTTTCAAGATCCTTCTCAGACATTAGTCCTTTAGTCCTGGAGATTCTTATTAGGTAATAGAAGGCAGATTTTCCTGCTGCCTTTACGTGCCTTTGAAGTTGAGGTCTGAGTTCATCACTACACCCAGATGTTGAGTCTGATTAGTGGTTTCTAGCTGCATTAACTAAAGCTGTGAGCTAACTTTTAAAGGCTTTTTCTCTGATCCAAAGATATTACTGTAAGTTTGGTCTGATATTTTAATGCATTGTTTAGAATACATATGATTGTGAACGCAGTTTGTGTAAACTGTCATTTTAACATGGAGAAAACCCTGACCCAAATAAATGTAGAGTTATTTTTAGTTAGATTGTTGTATCACAGTAAAATATGAACTCTTTTTACTGCTTTTCACATATCCTTACCAACAGTGCCAACAAATGTGTCTGCATAATAAATTCATTAACTAGATTTGCTTTAACTCGCACAAACTAAGAATGAAAAAACAGGAAGTTTTCTGTGATAAATTGCCTGTAATTGATTGAGTTTTCTCAGGAGTAATACAGATGACTGATATCTGAATCTTTTGTACCTAATCAGTGCCACCACCACTGCTCTCCATCTCCTTGACTTGTTCCCTTTTCTCTAGCTAAAAACAATGAGTTCTAACTATGACCCAGCTAACAGAGGATGTGGCTGTGGACTGTATGGTGGTTCAATGGATAAACAGCTCAGAGCAGGCCTGCTTTAGTAGACATGCAACGTGTGTGTGGAGATCAGAAAGGCACGTTCGTGTCATGTGTGCCTGTCCTCTGACCTCAGCAACCAGACCAACACATTTGAAATCCCAGATGAGTTCCCTGCAAAGAAAGCCAATAATTTAGTTCCTTCTCACCTCATCTAGTACCTACCTGTAGAAATGAAATTGTACCCTTATTACCACTCTAGCTTATTTGTTCCCAAGGACTTATCTCATGTAAATGTAACTGAAGTTAATGGACATGCAATTTTCTTTGCTTTGTTTTTAGTGTTTAAGAAGATTCAGGTCTGGAAAAGAGCCAGAGCGTTTCCAACTCCCCTCAAAAAACTTTTGTTTTGTCTGTGGCTTTTTCATTTTCCCCATAGGCTAGTTCTGTGTTGTTTTATGTACGTGTCCCTTGTTGTTTCTTCCATGTGGTTTCTTTGTCTTTCAGCCTCTTATCTCTTTGTTTCTTCCCTTGCTCTCCTTCTATTTTCTTTCCCCCGACTTCCTGCTATCTCTCCCCCTCGCTCACACCCTCACTCAATCTCTTTCTCTCCCCCCCATCCTTCCCTCCCTCACGCTCACTCTCATTCCCTATCTCCCCCTCTGCCCTCCTCCTCACCCCCCTCCGCACCCCTTTCTCTCTATCTTTTCTCATTCTCGCAGCACTCCCAGCTGCTGATGATTGATCAAGGTTTTCAAGGTTTGCCCTTTCCTGTTATTTAGCAGGAAATGTTTATGCACAGTTCTCAGTCTTGCGGTCACAATTGGCATGTGTCCACACTGTGTTTGTTGTGCCAGCCTGCCTGCACCTATTCCTGCTTGTCTTATATCCACTTTTTTGTATGTTCGTAAGTACAGCAAAGGTAAGACAATGTAAAAGAATACCTGTCTAAATCATGAGGTTCATCATTAGTGGCCACATCAGTTCTCAGCTGACAGGTAGAGCGCTCTGCCGCACCATTTCTCAAAGAAATCTGGAAGTTCAATAGTTAATGTCTTCCCTTTGCTGTTTTTTTTTCCTTTTTTCCTCACTCTCTCTGTTTCTCCTTTTTTTCTCTCTCCATTCCCTTTGCTCACATCCTTCCACCTCCACCTCCTCTCCTTCACTTCTTTTCTTTTCTCTTGCTGATGGACTCTTCTTTTTTTTCTTTTTTTCTTCTCCCACTCCCATCACTGTTTTTTTTCTTCTTTCCTCCACACACCCTGCTCCTGTTTTCAATGCATTTTCTTTCAACTCACTATCTGTCTTTCCATCCCCACCTCTTCCCCAACCCACGCCCCCCCTGTCCTTTCTTCCCTTGTCTTTTATTCTTTTTCTTTCTTTCACCACATCTTTTCTTATACCCCAGCCTCCTCCTCCTGCTTCTCCTACAGTTCTTCTTTCCTTTCCTTCTCCTTTTTTACTGCATTCTATTTTTCCCTCCCCCACACCAATTCTTTCCTCTTTCCCTTTTTCTTTCTGTCCCCCCCCTTTGCTTCCTCCACTCAGCTTCACCCCCCTCCTTTTGCTTCTTTCTTCCTTATTCTTTCCCCCCCATGTCTGTCTCCTTCCCTCCCTCTCTCCTAACTGCTTTTCTCTCCTTTCTTTTTCTACTCCTTTCTTTTGTCACTCTGTTGTTTTCCTCCTTCTGAATTTCCCAGGCAGTATACTTTATACTTAATTAGTTTGGATAAAGAACTCCTCTCTTTCACTGAAAAAGTTGAAAAATGTCGGATTTTCTTAGACATTATCTGTCTGTCTGTGTTGTCACTGTCATACGTACCTCCACCCAATGCGTCCCTGAGTGTTTGCGAAAGTCTACAATGTCTCTGAGTGTAAGTGTGTCTAAATCCATTATATATATACAGGAAGAGAGACAGAGAGATGGATATATAGATTTTATGTATCTATACATATGGAAAAGATAAATATAGAGATTGATAGATAAAGAAATATAGATTTATGTGAGTGGAGAGTGTTAATCTTAGCATATGCTCATATAAAAAATGGGGAAATGCAAAGTATGAAGTGTGATCAGAACAAGATAGTAGCTGCCAAAGAGAAATGTGTGTTGAAGGGTCATGTTGAATTGTACGTAGTGAGGAAGGGAGATAAGATGTGTGTGTGTTTATGAGGGAAAAGAAAAGAGAAAAGTGAGATGGGAAGGAGAGGGTGGGAGGAAGAGAAAGAAATGGGGTGATGCTGTGTGTTTGTGTGTTGGGGTGAGAGGGGGGGGGGGGGGGGGGGCAGGCACAGACAGTTCTGATAACAGCAACAGTAGGAGGAGGATGAGCCGTGGGACCGCCCCACTCTCCCTCAGATATAAATAGGAGGTGGATTTTTTTACTCCACTCACTTCTCCTGAAGAATGAGATCCCTGAAACACCTCAAACATCACTCCAGGAGCAATGTGGTAAGTTTGGGAGCCTGGGGGACACACTGGGGAAGGTGTAGTTGTTTTCTCAGAGAGAGGCATGGCAGGGCGATAGGGACTTTTTTGTTTGCAGTTTGTCTGTGACGTGTTTACACTCGTCCTGTCTGCACTCTTAAGTTGAAGTTATAGGAAAGAAGAGAGGATTGACTTTACACGCGTGGCATGAGGGCTGTGGGACCTGTTTTCTGACAGAGCTCCTTTCTAATTGTTTGTCCTTAGGTGTCTTTCAGTCTTGCAACTTTAAATGTGAAAGTGCGCCATACTCACAAAAATTATCCCTACCTTCCCCGTCTACTTGTCATTTGTCTTTTTCTCTTTCATTTTTGTCAGCTTTTCATTTGGCTGTGCTTTTTCTTCACTCTACAGCCCTCCCTTCCTCCTTCACCTCTTCCCTCTTACTCACTCTGTCTTTCTGTCTCTCTTCGGCTGCCCCCCCTTACCACCACCACCACCCCTCCATACACTCACACCCCCCTTCTCCTTTTCCTTTCTCTCTTCACTCCTCTCACACGCTCACTCAATCTCTCCTTCCCCTTCCCTTCCCTTCCCTCCCTCCCCTCTTTTCTTTATCTTTCAGCCCCTCCATCTCATTTCTCTCTCTGTCTCCCTCCCTCCACTCCCTCCCTCCCCCGCCCACAGCTCTTTCTCCTTCTCTTCATACCTCCCTCCCTCTTTTCTCTTTCTTTTTCTCACACACACATGCTTTCAAACACACACCCAGTCTCTTTCCTTTTCTTTCCTTACAAACACACAGTCTGTCTCTGTCTGACTACTTTAAAAGCAGTAATTATAAATGACGTGGTTATCAGGGCATCCAGGTCTACTCCCCTCACCCATGCCCACACACACCTTTATTCCTTCTCTTTATCTCTTCTTCATTTCTCTGTCTACTCTTTTCTTTTTCCTTCACATGGTGTCAGGAAAGGGAAGCAGCTCTTTCTTACATGGCAGAGTGAACGCTGTGGAGCCCTGCCTGCAAAAAAAAAAAGAAACATAGAGGGTCAGAACTTCTCAGAAACATTTTTCACTTAGCCTGATCCTTCCCAATATAAAGCGCGACATCAAGTCTTCATATGAAACAAAGGGCCAGTTTGATTGCCGCTCGGTTTCTCCAAAACATGACCATGAGGATCTAAAATACTATTTATAAAGTCTAGTTTTCTTTATTCACCTGGAATACAGAATAAGTTCAGAGTTCAGTTGAAATTATAACCTTGGTATAGAAGTGTAACTGTTAAATTGGTCACTGTGTTAAGACAATCAATGAGACGGTTTGCTCCAGTGATGGGACGGTCAAGCCAGGCTGTCCCAGGACCCCACAGGAAGTGCAGAGGACAGTCCACGGAAGTCAGTTTCCTGGCCAGGACCTGTATCCCTTGTTGTTTTCTTTATTATTCTGAAGCATGTTAAGGAAGGAAGCAGTGTGGAAAAACAGATCTGCCTTAACATCTTGATCTAATGCTCTGTGGATGCAGAGCAAAGACAAAAAAGCTCTCCTCTTTGCATAGCTTTCTAGTAAAAAGGAGGATTTAAATACACATACGCTAGAATAACTTCAATGTTAAGATACAGTTTATGAGTCCAAAATAAGAAGGGATGTTTTGTGCTAATTAAATATTAAGTAGTACTTTTACATATTACTTTATCCGTTCCAGGTGCATTACGGCTTATGCAGTGTGTGTCTGTGTGTTTGCAGGAGGAAGAGAGAAGCTGTTTTGTGCGAACCTTTCCAAAGATGACTGAGGCACAAGTGGATGTGGGCACACAAACGGAGCCCGTGGTGGTGCTATCACTTGCTCAAGCTGCTGTTCTTGGGCTCATCTCCCAGAATGAAATATTTGGGGCCACCATTGCCCCGAATGGCTTTTACACAGGGGAGCCAAAAGAGGGCCCCCCTCCACACCCTGAGTCAGTGGAGTATGAATATGCCGACCAGCTGATAGGTGCCAATGGGGACTACCTGCCTGAGCCGTCTGGGGAGCAGGAGCCCCAGCCGCACTGTAGCGAGAGAAGACGACCTGGCCCCCGTGGGAGAACCAAGAGGCCCAGGAGTGATGGGGAGCTAGAATCTCCGCAGCAGAAAGAGGTTGCTCCACAGGCTCAGGTTAAAGGCGAAAGACTTGATTCTGACATCCCTCCGCCCTGCATTCATATGAACAACAGAGACAGTCCTGGCAAGTCGGAGGATTCGGTAACCCATCATGCTTCCCCGAAAGAAGAACAGGCCTGTGGAAACTGTTCATCATGTGTGAGAGACAAACCTGTGCCACAAACGGACGGACAAACCGAACAGGTGCAGGAAGATGGTTCTGTTAGGGGGACAGAGAGGAAGGAAGGAGAGTTAATGGTAGAAGAAGAAGAGGAGGAAGCACTGAACCTTAAGACAACTGGAGAAAATAGCAGTCCTCTGGAGAATCGTTATTATGATTCCAACGAGGTGGCCTACAAATCTTCTGATATGCCAATGCAAGGAGAATATGAGGAGAACAGCCAGCCCCAGGCCATGCTTTGGTCGGACCCAGAGGGGCTCGCCAGACGAATGCAGATTGACCGATTGGACATTAATGTACAGATTGATGAGTCTTACTGTGTTGATGTGGGAGAGGGTCTGAAACGCTGGAAATGTCGTATGTGTGAGAAGTCCTACACCTCTAAATATAATCTTGTCACTCATATCCTGGGTCATAATGGAATTAAGCCCCATGAGTGTGTGCACTGTGGGAAGCTTTTCAAGCAGCCGAGCCACCTTCAGACTCACCTGCTCACCCATCAGGGGACCCGACCCCATAAGTGCACAGTGTGTGAAAAGGCCTTTACACAGACCAGTCACCTGAAGAGGCACATGCTGCAGCACACAGATGTTAAACCTTACAGCTGCCGCTTCTGCGGTCGGGGCTTTGCCTACCCCAGCGAGTTGAGGACCCATGAGAACAAACACGAAAACGGTCAGTGCCATGTCTGCACCCAGTGCGGCCTTGAGTTTCCAACCTACGCCCACCTGAAGCGTCACCTAACCAGCCATCAAGGTCCAACCACTTACCAGTGTACAGAGTGCAACAAATCCTTTGCGTACCGGAGCCAGCTGCAGAACCATTTAATGAAGCATCAAAACGTTCGTCCCTTTGTTTGTCCTGAGTGTGGGATGGAGTTTGTCCAGATCCACCACCTTCGACAGCATGCCCTCACACACAAGGTATGGGTGATGTGTCCACTTTACAATCAGCCAGTTAGCTAGCCTCATTGTGCTTTAGATTACTGAACCCTTATTTTAAACAAGATAAAAACTAAAAAATTCTGGATAGTCAGGATTAAATAAGTTATCAGTTTCTCTTCTTAGTGAAAGTGGCATTAATACAGTTTTAATATTAGATCAAATGTCATTATTGCATCAAAGCCTATTCTCTAAAACCGGTTGCTTTGCACACACTGCCTTCAAAGGCTTACGTTTTTGTTTGTTCAACCCCACACCCAACATGAGTGTTGCGTGATCTGCAAAAGCCTTTTCTCTTTACCTCTGGTTCACATAGTCTCTTACAGATGTATGATATATACTTTTTTATCTGTATTGTGGTTATTTTATTCACAAGTATAGCTGAATACCTTTTATTTCTTAGGTATTTATAACTGTCCCTGATTTAAATCTGATCCCCTTGTGTTTCCCTCCAGGGTATGAAAGAATTCAAGTGTGATGTGTGTGCCAGAGAGTTCACTCTGTCGGCCAACCTGAAGAGACACATGCTGATTCATGCCAGCGTGAGACCCTTCCAGTGCCACATCTGCTTCAAGACCTTCGTCCAGAAGCAGACCCTCAAAACGCACATGATTGTTCACCTCCCTGTCAAACCCTTCAAATGCAAGGTGGGTGTACCAAGCAGGAGACTTAGACAATTTTTATTGTCATCTTGTATACACAGTGTATACAAAAAATAAATTTTGATGCAGTGAATGAGCAACTTACTAGCATGAAATAAACATGATCATTTATAAAGTGCAGCAGTGATCAAGAATGTAGACAGTGTAGGAGAAAAAGAAAAAAAAACAGTTGACAGTCATGGTGCAAAAGGCATTGATGTGGAAAGGTTCAGTGCAGTGCAAAATAAATAGATATGGTGCAAAATGCAGCAGAATATTGAGTTGTGTGCTTTTTAAAGGGATTATGAAAAAACATCTGCCACATCGGTAGTGCAAATATGTTTTCAAGTGTGATTCAGTCTTTATTTAAGTTTCAAAAGTTCAACATTCTGATGGCAGCAGGGAAGAAGCTGTTGCAGAACATGCTGGACTTGCAGTGAATGCTGCAAGTTTAGATGTCGGCTCGCACCAAACCAATGAACAATACTAATTCTTGTACTTTGTTTTTTTTTCCCCTGGAAAAGGTGTGCGGAAAGTCGTTCAACAGAATGTACAATCTACTTGGCCACATGCACCTCCATGCTGGCAGCAAGCCCTTCAAGTGCCCTTACTGCTCCAGCAAGTTCAACCTGAAGGGCAACCTGAGTCGACACATGAAGGTTAAGCATGGCATTATGGACACCACAATTGATGGACATGGTGAGTGGCTTTTGCTCTTGTCCTAATTAGTCTGCTTAGAACAGATGAAGCTGATAAATTTGTTCATGGGGTTCAGCGTGGCATGCTTCCAAGTGAGACTCTTCTGAGGGCTTCATGTCACAATTGTCACTTAGTCTGTCCCTAATGGACTTGGACTCAGCATGTACTGTAATGTAGAGGCCAAGCATTCTGATGTGTCTGTCACTCTCTCCCCATGTGTTTAGTAAATATAGCAGTGCCTGGATTAGACATGCCTGTCCCTATCAGTGAAGACTGATGCTGAGGACAGGCAATCTGCTGGCTTTCCTCAATGTGGCCATATTTCTATAGGAAGAGATTTATGCAGCAGCAAGGGTGTCTGTTATGGATGGCAGCATAAGATTATATTTGTATCTTCCCCTTCCTTTGTCAGAGCCACCCAATGGGACGGAAGGCCAGGAGGAGTACGAAGAGGAGAGCTTTGAATTCAGTGAGCGAGAAAACCGCGCCAACAACAACACACCAGACGTGGCCAAGCTATCTCAAATGGAGTACTACAGCAATTATGGGAAGAGTACGGGGCGCTTTAGTGCAGCAGGGATAGTACCAAATACACAAAACTGAACATGTGTGTGAACTCAATTAACATAGATTTGTTTTATTGCAATTAAAAGAAAAAAAAAATGCTTAAGTTCCTCCATAAAGGGATAGCTTGTATTTTTCAACTGAGGTTCTATGATAGTTTCGGCCAATAGTTTCATTGCCTGTAATTCAAAGATGATTTGGAGAAGATCTAGAAAACTTTGGGGAATGTGAGACAAACACAATGCTGTTTCTGATTTTAGCTGCTTTTTATCATCTCGTAATACTTATTTTGTTGGATAAAGTCCATATTAAGATTTGTCAAACATCTACGCTTTGATAAAGAAGCCGTCTCTATTACATATACTAACTCAAGACCTAATGTAAAAAAATCCAAACAATCCCTTTAAGAATGTGGACGCCTAGCAAACTGCACATTAATATGCACTGGAATCACTGACATTCTGAAAATGTGAAAAATTAATCTCTAGAGGTTATATTTTAAAAAGAGCAGCATAGAATAGTTTTTATTTAAGAATCCTGCTAATTTGCCAGTTGCTTAACAAGGTCATCATCTGAACCCTAAAATAGCACACTTTGAACAAGAGGAGATGCATGTTATATTGCACTTAGACAATCCCAGTATCTCTCAGTGTGCTGGGGTTTCACCGGTGTGAGCGGTGAAGGAAGGGAACAGGTGTTCTTTCACCTACCAAAGCTTATCAAAAGGTTAATGATTCACCTTGATTTATACTGTGAAGAATAAAAGCTCTGTTAAAAAAAAAGGAATCCACTTTAGTTCTGTGCTTTACTGTATATTACTGTACAGCGTATCAGTCCTGCTGTATGTTGGCTGGTACTGGTGCTTGCACTAGAGGACCACTGTGTCTACTTTTTACTTTCTCATCAAGCATCCTCCCCTCCATTGATCTCTTATCTATGAATGTAACTGTTTCTGTGGAATGTTTTCAGGCAAATTCAAACAGCCTTTTTTTAATGCTTTGACCCCTTTACCAAAGAATTTGACGAACCTTGCAGCTATGGGCAAGTTCCTTTTTTTTACCTCGCAATTCTGTCGAGCTGGGACATTGAATTTCCCCGACTTTATGAAATTACATCCAGGTTTCCCCTCCTACCCAATTTTTTGATCTCCGCAAAAGATTACCATGGAAATAAAAGCTGTGGTGCAGAATCTCTTTGAACAAACCCTACCTTCCTCCCGTAAAATCAGAGATTCTGCAAAGGCAACACTGTAAAACACATTTACAAAGCGGCTCCATATTTTTTTATTTTTGGATTTTTAAATGGGTAACTCTTGAATAGAATTGTCCCCCTCAGAAAAAACAAAAGAAAAAACACTTTGGACAGAAATATTAAGTGGCCCAGAGTGTGCGAGAGCACACCATCCATCACGCCGCGTACGGCTCTCAAGTGATGAACGACAGCCTCCCGACATGTGACAGGGCCGTGGACCTTGCGAAAGATGCGGAAATCTTTAAAATAATCAGTTTTACACTGCTCAGCTTTTTTTTTTCCCACACCAAACTTGCAACCTCCAAAAAAGTTTCCTCATTTAAAATTGTTGATACTGTGCATTATAAATAAAAAGTGCTATTCTTTGGTGGTTCATTTCCTTCAGCTTCTGTGTTTACTGCATCAATCTTAGCAACTATACAAAAAGGGGAAGATACTCATCCTAAACAGCTTTCCGTTTAGACTTAAGTGTGAAGATGATATGAATAGAGATGTATGTACAATGTTGTGTACCAGGCAGAATTGTCTAATAAATTTATTTACCTTAATTCTCCTGAGTTTTTAATTTAAAAAACACAAAGATAAACATCGGTCAAACAAGATTTATTGGCAAGCATGTCTGACAGTCTTCGATCCTGCTCCAGGCATAACACAGCACTGAGTACATTACACATTACAAAAATAAAACTTGCACATTATGGGTCAGGTGTTTATGGGGTCATCAGATGGAAAGACGACTTGTGTCATTTCATTGTCTAAAAGAACACTATTTAATCCTACAGTGTATGCTCTCTCAGGTAAAACGCAAGTGGATTTGTTGACCTTTCAAGTTAAAAATGAGGTACAAAAACTTAAGAGTGACATTGCCACCTCCTGGCTCTTATTGTCGTTTCAAGTCCTTCACTTGCCGAGGGCCTTTTCCAGATTTTTCTTGATGGCGTCGAGGAAGTCTGTAGTATTCACATAGTGCTCGTTCAGCTTCACACTGGAAATTAAGCAAAAAGAAGGAAAATCAAGCCAACTACAAACACCTCTTGATTAATAACGCAATAACAATTATAAGGTTTCTTTTTATAACGGATTAAAAAGAAATATATGAGCAAACAAGATCTGATAAATTTAGTAATCCATTAAAAAATTTCTGATCCTCATTCAAATATTACTGCAAACATTTTCCTACTAAATATTAAATTTACTCATTTGTTGAAACCTTTTTGAACCAAATAATGAATTTCCCCTTAACAAAACCTTTCAAAATGTTTAAATGGTGAGGATACCATGTTAAAAAAAAAAAAACATGTACATTTAAGCAAACATAGCAGTCCTAAAAAATAAAAAAAGTTTTTAACTGTTTTACAGAAGCACACGGGTTTAAAGATATACTTTTCTGTTTCATGTCAGTAATGGCTTAAAGTAATAGTACACCCAAAACATGATTAGCCTTCATTTTCTACTCACCCCCATGCTGAACAACACTCTGGAGTACTTTTTTGATATCTCAAATGCACCTGGAGATCTGGGAGGCTTCTTGCTGTCTGCTGACATTCAAATAATGGAGGTCTACGGTGCCCGAGACAGAAAGGTCCATAAAAGTCCACAAAAACGTGTCAATATTCCTCCATACTGCTCGTCCAATGTATTCCAAGTGTCCCGAGTGGGTAGCATCCAGAATTTACTCGAAACGAAGTCATTTAGAATGTTTTTAGAGCATAAACAGTAGTGTATAGTATTACCTGAAAGCGCGCGCCAGCGCGTTCAGGACGCTACGGAAGCCGGCAGACCAAACCAGATGAAAGTGCGCATTCAGCGTCTGCTCTGCCGATAATGCAAGCGTAGAAGAAGAAATGTGCTGTTTACCTGTGCAAAGAAAGAAACAACGAAAGAAAAATGTCTGAGGACTTCAGTGTTGAGGAAGAGCATGAGTTCTTTGCCGAGCTGAATGCGCTGGTTTGGTCTGCTGGCTTCCGTAGGCTCGTGAACGCGCGCTTTCAGGAAATCCTATACACTACTGTTTATGCTCTAAAAACATTCTAAATGACTTCGTTTCGAGTAAATTCTGGATGCTACCCACTCAGGACACTTGGAATACATTGGACGAGCAGTATGGAGGAATATTGACACGTTTTTGTGGACTTTTATGGACCTTTCTGTCTCGGGCACAATAGACCTCCATTATTTGAATGTCAGCAGACAGCAAGAAGCCTCCCAGATCTCCAGATGCATTTGAGATATCAAAAAAGTACTCCAGAGTGTTGTTCAGCATGGGGGTGAGTAGAAAATTTAATGCTCCAATATACAGATGCTCTTAAAAGTTCATTACCTAAACTGTGGCTGCACCTTATCGGGTCTTTAATGATTAATTTCTAAAATATGTTTTCAAATGAAGTTGTTCTTAACGTGGTTTAAAGTGGAAAAAAAAGCAAAACTTTCCCAGGTGTGTATCCAGGGTTCCTACAGCATAAGGCAAGTTAAATTCAAGACTTTTTAATGCCACTTGAAATAAAAATTTAAGACCAAATTCACAAGAAACACAACAAAAAACCTGCTTGCAACAACTTAACCCAAAGGTTTATTATAACATAAATCTCTCCACTAATGTTTTAAATTTTGAAAAGCTTCCCATACAGGAAGAAAGCAGATATATTTTAACAATTATTTAACTGAGTTTACAAACTTTGTTTTGCAGAGACAAGGGTGGAACAAAACCGAGAAATACCGGCTGTTTCTCGGTAACTCGATTTTGATGCTTTGTGTTTCGATCTTCGCATGTGCGACTCCACTGCCTTAATTCCCATCGTTCCGAGCTTGAATGACTTCTTGCACAAAATACACTGTGCCTCATGTATGTTCCCTGGTACTGGTTTTACAGACAAAAAGTTAATGGTGCATCTCCCAAATGTCCCGGCCGCAACAACGCTTTTATTGGTTCCGCTATCGCGACGGAACCAATAATGGCGAGCCGTTTTTTTTATGAAAAAAAAAAAAAAAAAAGTTAATTTTAACGTTTTATTCAGATTACAAAAATAAATCGTAATAAAAATAATCCTATTTATGATGTTTTAAAAATATTGTAAGATCCTCCATATCCCAGACTACCTTATAGACCTCCAATTTATCATGAAATATAAAACACTCAAGTTGACTATATGTGCATCACAAATATATTTTTTCATCTTTAAGATTATTTATATGAACAACAAAAACCAGAAACAACAAAACTGGAAGGGAGGAAGGAAAAGAAAAAAAATAGGTGGACACAGGAAAAAAGACAAGGTAAAGAAGAATGGTGAAAAGAGGGAGCGAAAAGAAAAATGACACACAAGGGGAAAGCAAAGTTGGGAAAAAAAAGAGGAGGAAATAAGGAAGGCAGGAAAGCAGTGAAAGAATAATGGGCAGAAGGAAGAACAAGAGGGAGGGAGTTGTGAGACAAGGAAGGAATAAAAAAGAAGAGGGGAATGTAAGACAAGAATAGAAGAAATGAGGGCAGAAAGAAGAGCATGAGGGAGGGGGGGAGGAAGTTGGGACTCAAGGAAGGGAGAAATGAAGAATGAGGAACAAAGAAAGGAAGGGGAGAAGGAAGACTATGAGAAAGGCAAACAGGACACCTGCAAGGATGAAAGGTGGCAAGGAAAGAGATAAGATAGGAGTGAAGGGACTCAAAGCAGGAAGGATATAACATTTACAAAGGAGGGAAGTCTGGAAATTAAGATTTTTTTCCCCATTCCATATTCTGTTTCCCTACTAATACAGACATGGAAAAAGCGCTGAAGAAAAAGTCATTTAATTTTCTAGACAATCATGGACTGAATAGGAACTCTGATAGGTGAAAAA